GGAGCCGAGCCATAGACCCTCAGCAGTGTCTCAACTATGTCATATACACTCATCCGGTTGCAATTCCGGAATCAAGCACCACTACTAGAGCATCGGTAATTGTGTTTGGTGATCTGGAGCCGAGTCATAGACCCTCAGCAGTGTCTCAACTATATCATATACACTCATCGGGTTGCACTTCCGGAATCAACTATCACTTGTAGAGTATCGGTAATTGTGTTTGGTGATCTGGAGCCGAGTCATAGACCCTCAGCAGTGTCTCAACTATATCATATACACTCATCGGGTTGCACTTCCGGAATCAAGTATCAGTTGTAGAGTATCGGTAATTGTGTTTGGTGATCTGGAGCCGAGTCATAGATCCTCAGCAGTGTCTCAACTATATCATATACACTAGTCGGAGTGCAATTCCGGAATCAAGCATCACTGCTAGAGTATCGGTAATTGTGTTTGGTGATCTGGACTCGAGACATAGACCCTCAGCAGTGTCTCAACTATATCGTATACACTAATTGGGTTGGAATTCCGGAATCAAGTATCACTTGTAGAGTATCGGTAATTGTGTTTGGTGATCTGGACCCGAGCCATAGACCCTCAGCAGTGTCTCAACTATATCGTATACACTAATCGGGTTGCAATTCCGGAATCGAGTATCACTTGTAGAGTATCGGTAATTGTGCTTGGTGATCTGAAGCCAAGCCATAGACCCTCAGCAGTGTCTCAACTATATCGTATACACTAATTGGGTTGGAATTCCGGAATCAAGTATCACTTGTAGAGTATCGGTAATTGTGTTTGGTGATCTGGACCCGAGCCATAGACCCTCAGCAGTGTCTCAACTATATCGTATACACTAATCGGGTTGCAATTCCGGAATCGAGTATCACTTGTAGAGTATCGGTAATTGTGCTTGGTGATCTGGAGCCGAGTCATAGACCCTCAGCAGTGTCTCAACTATATCATATACACTAATCGGGTTGCAATTCCGGAATCAAGTATCACTGCTAGAGCATCGGTAATTGTGTTTGGTGATCTGAAGCCGAGTCATAGACCCTCAGCAGTGTCTCAACTATATCATATACACTAATCGGGTTGCAATTCCGGAATCAACTATCACTTGTAGAGTATCGGTAATTGTGTTTGGTGATCTGGAGCCGAGTCATATACCCTCAGCAGTGTCTCAACTATATCATATACACTAATCGGGTTGCAATTCCGGAATCAAGTATCACTGCTAGAATATCGGTAATTGTGTTTGGTGATCTGAAGCCGAGTCATAGACCCTCAGCAGTGTCTCAACTATATCATATACACTAATCGGGTTGCAATTCCAGAATCAACTATCACTTGTAGAGTATCGGTAATTGTGCTTGGTGATCTGGAGCCGAGTCATATACCCTCAGCAGTGTCTCAACTATATCGTATACACTAATCGGGTTGCAATTCCGAAATCAAGTATCACTGCTAGAATATCGGTAATTGTGTTTGGTGATCTGAAGCCGAGTCATAGACCCTCAGCAGTGTCTCAACTATATCATATACACTAATCGGGCTGCAATTCCGGAATCAAGTATCACTTGTAGAATATCGGTAATTGTGTTTGGTGATCTGGAGCCGAGTCATAGACCCTCAGCAGTGTCTCAACTATATCATATACACTAATCGGGTTGCAATTCCGGAATCAAGTATCACTTGTAGAGTATCGGTAATTGTGCTTGGTGATCTGGAGCCGAGTCATAGGCCCTCAGCAGTGTTTCAACTATATCATATACACTAGTCGGGTTGCAATTCCGGAATCAAGCATCACTGCTAGAGTATCGGTAATTGTGTTTGGTGATCTGAAGCCAAGCCATAGACCCTCAGCAGTGTCTCAACTATATCATATACACTAATCGGGTTGCAATTCCGGAATCAAGTATCACTTGTAGAGTATCGGTTATTGTGCTTGGTGATCTGGAGCCGAGTCATAGACCCTCAGCAGTGTCTCAACTATATCATATACACTAATCGGGTTGCAATTCCGGAATCAAGTATCACTGCTAGAGCATCGGTAATTGTGTTTGGTGATCTGGCTTACTCTACACGACTAGAAATGAACACGATGTCATTCATCACATTTCAGAATACCCATGAAGGGCACCAATAACTCCATATTGAGGATAACATCCGCAGTTGACGGGTCGTCAGTGACGGCAGTTTCTTCCACCACAACGTGATTTCTTGCAATCTGCACGAAAACCGCGCGCGCGTCTAGTAGTTCGTACCAGTGGCTCTTATCGGCATCAGTGGGATGCTACGTGGATGCCTGAAGGATTTCTGGGT